CAAGCTGTCCCCCAACTCCAGCCTCCCCCACCCCTCCATCTCCCCCTCCCGCTCGCCGCTCTCCCCCTCCAGCCCTCTCCTCCCTATGAGGGCCTCCTCCTTTCCATCTCCCCTCCCTCAGCAGCATCTCCCAGTGTCACCTTCCCTCCCTCGCTCCCCTCTCTCTCCCTCCTCCCCCTCATCTTTCCCGCAACCCAACACTCCCAACGGTCAGAGCAGAGTCCCCCCCGCTGTGGTCTCCCTGCCCGCCAGCTACAAGGCAGCACCAAGCATGTGAGTCCAAAGATAAAGTATATATCATATATTTGGCATGCAAATGTTAACAGACGATTGAAACGTTCTGACGCTTAAAAGACATTGCTAGGAGGATAGAGCTGCACAATGTTTGTCACAGGGGAACTATGTTTGAATCTTGGTGAATTTTGGTGCAGCAGAGATGTCCCTGCTTACTAAACGTGTTGGACAGACATAATAAAATGAATATTAACATAGAATATTTTATATACATAATTAGTTATATACGTTGATTTCAAATTGAAATACTACAAGGTTGAGTGTGAATTTTAATATGTGCAATTGTGCAGGGTTACAGAGAGAACTCTGAAGCTGTGAGTTCTCCGCAGGCCAGTGCTGACGTGGTAATGCTGTTCAAAGGAATCATTTCCTGTATCCATCCTATTACTTTTTTATTCCTTATCAAAACCAATATATTTAGCTATATTTAAAAGCATGGAGCAATCATTGCTATCTATATTTACTGCCTGCATGTAATAGCATCTTCTAGTAAAAACTGTCCAACCGAATGTTTGAGCATTCTTTCATAAGTGATGCACAGCAACAGGAGATATTCTGTCGTAGCTTGTCTTCTCTTCTTCATCACTGCTTAAATGTTGTTCCTCCCTCTTTTTGTCCCTATTGCTATCCCCCAGCCTTCCAAAGCCCATCCTGAAGAAGGCTGTGGCTCCGCGGCCCTCTTCCTCTCGCTCCACTGATGATGACATCCAGGGCTCCAAAGACGCCCTCATCCAGGATCTGGAGAAGAAGCTGCGCTCCAAGGAGGCCAGAAGGAGAGGCAGCCAGGTGTGTGTGTGTGTGTTTCCTGCAAAAGTGCAAGTTTTAAATAAACATTCCCCCCTCGACACACACCACCCCAGCCCTTCACGCTTACACAGTGTGTGTGTGTGTGTGTGTGTGTGTGTGTGTGTGTGTGTGTGTGTGTGTGTGTGTGTGTGTGTGTGTGTGTGTGTGTGTGTGTGTGTGTGTGTGTGTGTGTGTGTGTGCTTTTAAACATAAAATAACGTATACTTTCAATAGTTTACCAATAAAAGAAATCAAGTTTAACAGAATAAAGCTTTATTTTCGAACAGAAACTGTCCTATGAGGAGCGTATGGCTCGGAGGCTGCTTGGTCCAGACAACGCCAACTACACGTTTGACCAAGACAGTCTCTCAGACTCACAACTCGACCAGGTACGACCACAAACTGTCAAGTAGTTCATTAACACCATGATTATAACATAACGATGTGTGTTGCACTGCTGCACACACATTCATGTTGGCTCTGGTCCAAAACCCATTAGTGTTTTCTTTGCTATTAAATAAAGAACACACATCATTACAGGCATTGTGGTTTCAATGGCTGCACAGTTCCCCTCTCAGGGCCTCCGGTGTGTGTGTGTGTGTGTGTGTGTGTGTGTGTGTGTGTGTGTGTGTGTGTGTGTGTGTGTGTGTGTGTGTGTGTGTGTGTGTGTGTGTGTGTGNGTGGACAGATCACAAAAATTTGGAGTACATACGCAAGGCTGAGAGGTTAAACTCCAGACAGGCACGATGGACCTTATTCTTCAATAGGTTTAACTTCATTCTCTCCTACCGTCCTGGCTCACAGAACGCCAAACCAGACGCGTTATCCAGGCTTTTTGACCCAGAGGCTCTTTCCAAGGAGACAGAGTCCATTTTACCGCCCACTCAGGTGATAGGAGGGGTGACATGGAAGGTTTGGCTATCTACAAGAGATCTGCCCCTGTGTGTGGCTTCCAGGAAGCTGGCTCCGAGGTTTGTGAGTCCGTT